GAGCCAGGAGAATCCCATTTCTGTGAGCAGCAGGACCCCTTGAAGATGAAAAGGTCAAAGGAAGCTGAGTGGAGCGAGAAGGACCAGTCCCCACCACTGCACCGAGCTGCACGTCCTCAGACGGAGGAGCAGCCACCCCCTGTGAGATCAAACCACCTGCTTTAAACATCTCCCGTCTACATTAAAGGGCTCCTTCCACCTTTAATTGCAGCAGGAAAACAAACCCAGCACCGTGTCTTGTACACGAGAACAGCCTTAATAACACTGGGAGCCTGCCAGGATGCTCCAGTGGGGAACACAAGTGGCATTTCCAGGCCCTCCAGGACCTCTCCTTGCTCGAGATTAAGATCAAACCCCGTTTCCCGAAACCCAGCACAAGCCAAACTGCTGATGTTCATAGAGTTGGGAATTCTGTTGGTTCTCGCGCCTTCCTGGGGGAGCACGAGCCTTCACACATCCCTCTGCTTCACCCCCAAAACTCTTCTGGGGTGAAGCAGAGCCAGGAGAGTGGGTGAGGAGCTTCCTGCATCCTCTGAGGAAGAATCTGGCCATGGCAGCATCTCTACCAAAGGGAGCTGCAGGTCGGATTTCCCACTCGTGGCTGCTGGTCACACTGGTTTGGACTGGGCATGGTGCTGAGCTTGCCGCCTGCTGTGATTTTAGCATCGTATCCTGCTCAGCTGGTTTCAGCCCTGTGCTGGACAGGGAACACACCTTAATCCCCACGGGGTCAGGCTGGTATGGTCTGTAATCTGGAGGGAGGTGGAGGATGGTGGTTTTGGGCTCTCAGCGAGCATGAGGGCTTCAGCAGAGGGTTTGGGAGCATGTGTGTCTCCAAACCCAGCCGGGATCACACCCATCCAGAATGGATGGAGACACGGTGCTGAAACCTCATCTTCATTTTGGGCTTGGGGTTTTATTTCGGCAAGTTTAGTCACGGCACAGTTGGAGCCACCACGGTCGCTGCGGATGCTCACTCCAGCCCAAAGCATCTCATCTTCGCTGGGTGGTACCTACACTCACCTCTTCTTCCTCCTCCACCTGCTATTAGCACCAACATGCCTGTGCATAGGGAGAATGATGATTTTAAGTCATCTGGCCCATTCAGAGCTGAGTGTTTCTTCCTAATAACACCTTGTCCTGAGAAAGTTGCTATTAAGATCCCTGGATCTTAACAAGATGACTGCGATCCTGCCTCTCCATCAGATTGAGTGAGCTGGTCAGCCTTGGGCTTGGGGGCTCATTTCAGCTTTTTGTCCTCAACTTCAGCCTGTTTCTAACCATAATGGAGCAATATTTGATGCCCCAGTGCTCCTCAGGAGCCCCACTAATAGGCTAGACCTCATTTGGGTTGTTTCTTCCTCACCCATCCTGCACCACCACTCTGTCAAGGAAAGTTTGATAGTCTCCCTAAGCTGATAATTACACCTTATTTATTATCTTGCATGTGTAATTGCAGGCAGGAACTTTTAAGAGCCATGTCAGCCTAATTACTTGCAATAGGACAAGGCATCAAACCAGTTATCAAGTCCCACTTGGGTTTGCATGAGGGTTTATTTGCTTTAGGCATGTAGCTGTAACAGCAGAGTAGGAGCATCCAATGCAGTCCCCTCCCAAGTACCTGCATTCCCCATCCCACTTGGAAGAAGGGCAGGAGATTAGTTTGGACCAGCAAAAAATGCTTTTAAAGCTGCTAAATGCAAGAAAAATCCCCCTTCATCCTTTCTTCTTCCCAAAATGAAGGTGTTTGCCTGCTAGGAGACTTCATAGCTAGCAATGCAAGAGCAAAGCACCCCATAAAAGCGCTCCTTCCCCCTGTGCTCACCCTGCCCACGTTCTCCCCCAGCTTTGCATTAAATGTGCTGCCCTATAAATATCTGCCTCGCTGGGGCGTGCTGGATGCCTCCTCCATAGAGAGCAACAAAGCCACGGATGGGCTCAGCTTCACCCAAGCTCCTTCATCCTCACCAGTGGGTTGGTTTCGCCTCCAAAACAAAGCCAACAGAGGCAGGAATGGGCAGGAACGGGCAGCGCCTCGTGGCTCAGTGGGGCCAGGCACCTGTTTGCACCTCCTAAACGTGAAAGGTCAGCTTGAAAGGACTCCGGGGGGGGAACATTTCCCTCCTACTCTTTGCAATAACGCACGTGCCTGCAAGAAGGGAGCCACAAAACGACCCCAAAACCTCTCAGCAAGCACCCACAGAGCTTCAAACCTGCTTGAACCCAGCAGCTTGGTCCTGCTTGGGGGAGGTGTTGAAAACCCTCAGGAAGCAGGTCGCTGGGGTGGTTTGCAAGCTCCAGAGTTGGGCTGAACTGAGGGCAGGCAGGGATCCATGAGCACAGGGCAGTTTCTGCAGAGCAGCTCCTCAGCTGCCAGATCTGATGTTTAAAAAGAAAAGGGAGAACTCCCCTGACGAGATTGACTCCAGCCACGAAACCACGGGCCTCCAGACATCTACGTGTGTGTGTGTGTGTATAAATATAGCTCTCTATACATGTCCTGTGATGGTCTACCATGGCTGATCTCCTACCTGATAGCACAGGGCAGAACCTGCATTGCTGAGGCACTTCTGCCTCCTGGAAAATCCCATTCTTGCAGCAGAAACCAAGGTTTGCTAAGCCACACAGGGGAGCCACCCAGGCTGTCACTGCAGTGGGGACAGGCAGGTCCTTGCACTTGTCCCCAACACCAGATGGAGAGGATACCTCAGCTACCTCTCTCCTTCCTCCCCACAGAAGACATTGCAATGGGGGGGCGCTTTGCTGAAGCCTCTGCAAGAAGGATTTATTATCTTCCCCACTGCTGGCACAGCTGCAGCATCTCCACAGAGACCTCCAAAAGCTTGCAAAGTCCCCAGGAAGCTTTGAAAGACCCCACATGGCTTGCAAAGACCAAATCTGGTTTCCAAAAACCCCAGGAAGCTTGCAAAGACATCACCCTCCTTCCACATCAATGCCTCAAACACAGGGACTGGTGCAGTGGAGGGGAAATGGGCTCTGGCAGCCCCTTCCCCACCTAGTCCAGCAGCTCTCCTCCAGTTTTGCCCCAGAACAGGGCATTCCCCTCTTCTTCGTTTCACTGTGTGCTCCCAAGGAGGTGCAGGTGAGCTCTAGCCTGGCTGCTCCCTTTGGGAAGCCAGAGCCACCCAAAACACCTCAGGACCACCCAAAAGTTCCCAGAGCCACCATGGTTTTAGTCCCATGTTGCCAGCAGATAACACTTGCTCCCCAGGTTTCCTTCTACTTGGCAAGTGCTTTTACCCATGCCAACACCATCACGTCAGCCAGACCATGGGGATATAAATACACTTATATAGAGGTGTATAAAACAACCCCCCATGTCCTGCTGGTTTTAAAAGTCACAGTAACCCTGGGGTCTCTCTGTAAGATGGGAGGGATTTGGGGTTGGGGTTGTCTTTGAAGGAAAGAAGATGTGTTTTCCTCACTGACAACTGAAAGACTAAACCAGAGGAATTAGGAAGTGAAAATGGTCAAAGACAAACTGCTTTTTGCTCATTTTCTTCCCAACTGATGGGTTTACACCTTGATTTCCCCAGCCCACAGGTCCCAGGTGAGCTCAGGGAGGTGAGGCCACCCCAGCCCTTGCAATGCCAGCTGCTGGTTCTGCTTTGGGGTGAAAAGAGGGAAAATAGGTCTCGTGCAGTGCTGGAAACAGAGCCTGCTCGTGCAAACATGAGGTGGGTTTGGTTTCATCTGGTTCTTTCTCTGTTTCAATGATTTCTCTTCCTGGTTCCTCTTTCACCAGTGCTTCTTACTACTGGTGGTTTAAATAGGCAGTAAACAGATAAATCAAGATGCTTCTCAAAAGAAGGAATATTTTCCAGCTGGATCAGGGTATCTAAACCAGGGGCACAGCAGTGGTGCTGCCCTGACCATGATGCTCCATGAAAGGCACAGACAACTGGTTTATATCTTCTTCTGTTCCTCAGGGAGAACATCTATGGCCTTGAATAAAATCTCTCCATTGCCCAAATCCCCATTTTCACATGCAGAAAACCAGCAAAACTGTCTCTTTTTGTGCTTAGCAACACAAAGTCACTCACATTTGCTCAGGTCATGGCCAACCCCTCCAAAACCAACCAAAGCCAATAAAACAGGATCTGCTTCAGATGGCAAACTGGGTTTGAGTTTCTTTCCTACACCCCAGCCACGGAGGGAAGAGAGCACTTAAAAGAAAAGCCCAAAAGGGATATAAATAGGGAACATCAACCTGAACGTTTCTGCTCCTCACTAATTGCTTGTGGCTTTCCAAATCTGGGGCAGAAGTTTGGGGTTTAAAATGAATATTTAGCTTGATGTTAATAAATAATGCAAAGGCCTGTGTGGGCAGCAATTGCTCCTGACGTGTGGAAAACCACCTCTGATTTCCTCTCCTCAGCAACTGCTGCCCAGCTTCCCTTTGAAAATAAGCAGGGAAAAAAATCAAAAGGAGAGTCCTGCTCTAGCCTAAGGGCTGGAAAAACTGTATTTCTTTCTTCCCAGGAGCAGCCAGAGCTTTTCCCTGAACAGCATAGAAAGGATGGATATCCCACAGATGCAAACAGCAGCCAAAGTGCTGCAAAATCATCTCTGTGTTGAGCTGCTTGTTCCTGTTTGGGGTCAGGGAGATGCTGGAGGGGAGTCGGGGACAGCTGGGGGAGCTCCTTGCATAAAGCTGGGAGCCGGTTGGGCTTGGCTGCCCTCCCCTCCGTCCCTTCCCTCCCCTTGGAGATCATTTTCATGGGGCTTTAGAGGGTCCAATCCAACTGCTCCCTCCCTTCAGAGCACGGTGGGGGCTGCAGAGTTGTCATCCCAAACTCTGCAAGCTTCCAAAGCAGCTTGATTTGCTCCAGGGTCACTTGAGGAGGAGGAGGAGGGAGGCGTTGCCAGGGGGGAAGGAGAAGCAGCTGGGTGCTGCTGGGGGGCTCAGTGCCACCCAGAGCGGGTGGGGAAGGGTGTGTGTGCCCATTGCCGGGGTATCTGGGCGGCTGCACAGGGAGATGTCGGGGGACCGCACTCTCCGGCTGCAGCACGGGAACCGCATCGAGGCCCTGTGTGTGCTGGGCACCTGCATCTCAGCTGATGTCTATGGGTGAGTGGGACACCCCAACACCCCTTGTGCTCCTCCATCTCTGCACCCCACCTTCCTGCCTGCCTGCACCCCCCACTTATCCCTCTGCAAATCCTCCCTCCTTCCCCAAACTCCACAGCCCCAATGCTGTGACTTCATGCATTTTCTGGGCAAAATCCTCCCTGGGCTTCGCAAAGCTGGACAAGACCCAGGAAAGCTTCAAGCACCAGGGTTTGCATGACGTGGTACTTACCTGACAGTGATGGGTTTGATCCATTTGTGGTCAACGGACCCAGTGCTTGGAAAGCTGCTGGTGCAGGAGCCACGGGATGGGCTGCAAAGGAGATGCAGCTGGGAGAGGGGAGGGAAACAAGATGTAGTTAGTGAACAATCAGCATCCCCACCCCACCAACTCTGCTCCCCCAAACCAAACCGTGTACCTCAAGATATATTCCCCCCCTCCCCCCAAAAAAAAGGGAACAGTTTAAAAGCTCATTTCGTGGTTGATTCTGGTCTTTGCTGCTTTTGCAAAGCTCACCCTCAATATCCAAGCCAAGCAGCACAGTTACAACTCATCTGGCATCTCTCCAGTTGAAATCTCCTCCCAGTGGGATTCCCAAAACCGAGAAACAAGGAAACCAAACCAGTTTTTCCATGCATAATTAAATGTAATTTAACAACTTCAGAAACACTTAGGCAGAAGCAAAGGAGCACTTAGATTTCCTCTCCCCCCTCCCAGTGCAGGTTTGGAGGGGGGCTGTTGGCACCCAGAAACCCAATAAATGGTGCTGTAATAGTGATATGGTGTGAGCTCTTGGGTATTGGGATCAAAGCGAGCCTGCACCTCATGAGCTGCAAATAACAACCCTGGAAAGATGGGGACATTAGGGAAAAGGAGCTGGGAGAGGGGAAGGGGATGCGCTGAGCAAGGGCACATCAGACTGGGAGTGGTGCAACTCCTGCTTCAGGGTTGACCAAAATCACCCCCACAATTAGAGTTTCCCATGGTGAAGTCCCAGTTGGGTTGTCACGCCATTAGGATGAGCTGTTAAATCCCGGGTTTGCCTCAGCTGGAAAATAAACATGGATTTCTTCTCCATTGAAGTACAAACCCGAGTGCAGTTCCAGTGGCTCCAAGTGCTTTGGGCTGGGGTTATTATAGATTGTAATCTACACCCATGGCTACAAAATAGCCTCATTTTGTTAAAATAGCATGTTCTGTCCTAAAAAGCAAAAGAATAAAGACACTTGAAGCATTCCCAGGCAGGGAGAAGGGGCTGGAAGGTGCCGGCGGGGAGTGTGGCGACGCCAGCATGCCCAGTCTTGGCTGTGTTCTGGGCAGTGGAATTAATTGCAGGGAGAACGAGGTGATTTTGGTGCAAAGCACTAAAACCAGAGTTTTTTTGGCAGGGCGGCCCCGGCGGGGGCAGTCGCCTTCAGCGTGAAGCACACAGAGGGGGTGAGAGTGGAGGTGACATGCCAGAGCCCAGCGGAGCTCGGGTCAGCCCCCGGCAGTGGGATGCGGTGGCCGCTGGACAAGGGGACAGTGCTGAGGTTCAGCATGAGCCGGGCCAGCACTGAGGTCAATGATAACAAGGTAAGAAGTGGGGTGTTGGGTCTTCACAGAGGGAGAACTTCCTTCCCCAACCAGGGATTTGGGGGTTTGCAGGTAACTGTCAGCTTTTATGCAGAGGGAGGGCAGCCCATCAACCAAGCTGGGGTCTTCCTCACTGGCATTGGTGAGTACAAATCTTCCATGTAGCAATCCATCTTCGCTCCCTTGGAGGAGGGTGCTGTGATGTGGGGGCAGAGATGGACCTAAATTTGCTGGATCTGGGGAGCTCATGCACCCACCCAACCTGGTACCCTGGGATGAGGGTGAGGTCTCTCCATCCAGGGATTTCTCTGGATGTCGACGCGGATCGGGATGGCATAGTGGAAAAGAACAGCCCCAACAAGGTAATTCAGCCTCTTGCACTGCATGGGAAGTCCATGGGCTTGCAGAGCCTGAGCTCACTAAGGCCCAGTGGGGTGTTTCAGGGAAGCTGGATGTGGGGTCCTGAGGGCCACGGGGCCATCCTGCTCGTCAGCTGTGACAAGGAGAACCCCTTCACTGTGGCATCGGACCGCGACGATGAAAGGGTGTTCAGCAAAGAAGGTAACATATAAAGGTTATATATACATATATCTATAAGGACGATATCATATAAAGCAAAAAATGCTCCGTTATTCCCCCTCTTGAACCTTTTTGGAGGTGAAATTTTCTTGGGAACCAGCTGCCCATGAGCTGCTCTCCACCAAGCTGCTGAGTAAGCTTCCCACATGAGAATTCTCCTTGTTTAATGCCATGCAAACTAATTGCGGTCAAGCGGGGGCACGAAACACAGCCAGAAACACAGCAGAGGTGCCACTGACAGCAGAGCTTGGCCCAGGGATGCTTCACACGGGTGAAAAGAGCTCGGGGCAAGGCATGAGGCTGGCAGAATACACCCAGGTTCCTGGAAAACTCCAACCACATGGAGCCGGTGCCCATCACCTTTTTGAGGCCAAGGACTGGCTGTGCCAGGGCTGTGAGGAGAGGGAAAGGGGCATTTGTTTCAAAGCACAAGCCCCAGGCTTTGTTAGCAGCTTGTTGTTCCAGCTTGCAAAGGCTGGTAGCAAGGGCAGAGCTTGGTAGAGGAGATGCAAACCCCAGGAGGGAGGGTGCAGACCAGCCAGAGCTCCATGGTGCAGTCACCCATCAGCCAGGTTCTCCTTCTTCGCACCCAGATTTGCTGGACATGTCTCGGATGGTGCTCAGGACTGAAGGGCCCCAGCGCCTGCCCCGGGGGTATGAAATCATTCTCTATATTCCTGTCTCCGAAGCTGACAAAGTTGGGGTCTTTTATGTGCAGAGTAAGTCCTTCCTCAGTCCCTTCCTCCTTGCTTGTGGTGCTTTTGAGATCCTTGCAAGCTCTTTTGCTTTCCGTCTTTGCCCTTGTCCTCTCTGTGCTCTTCAAATGGCATTTCTGAAGGCCTCTGCATCCCTTTTCCAGTATTTTCCAACGATGAATAGTCTCTTCTCAATCAAATGGAAAACTGGAGATGAAAAAGCAGAGGCCCAGGGCCATAAAGCCACTTATCAAGCTCATCCAGCACAGGAGTAGCAGAAAAAAAGCGATGTGTCCTGACAGCCAGATGCCTTATCACGATGGCAACATGCTCTACAACACATTTCCCCTCCTTGTTCCTTGTTGTGGGCACAGTGATTTATTCCCTGGGACCAAAACCCCTCATCCAGCCCAGAAACATGGGTCCTCTCCCTCCATGCAGAGGTAGTCCGTCAGCAGGAGGGCTGGTGGCATCGTCAGAGGGGGCTGAAACACCAGAAACCTCATGAAAACATCTTCCCATTGACTGCCCCATCCAAGGAAAGGCTGAGACACTTTTTCCTCACCCTTCTGCTGCTTGACTACCAAACTGAAAGCCCCTCAAGGTTTTAAGGTGCTTCTTCCAGATGAAGTTGTATCCACACACAGAGGCAGAGAAGCTCCCGCACAGAGGGATCGTGGTACCTCCTTGCACAGAAGCAAAATAGGCTTGAAAGCACCACAGAAACATTGGAGGTTGCCACCTTCCCCTTTCTCCTCTTGCAGACCCCTTCTTCGGGCAGCGCTACGTGCAGGTGCTGGGCCGCAGGAAGCTCTTCCACCCGGTGCAGTACACTGGTGGGGCTGCTGAGCTCGACTTCTTCGTCGAGGGGCTTCGCTTCCCTGACGACACCTTCCCTGGGCTGGTCTCCATCCATGTCAGCCTCCTGGAGACGATGGCTGAGGTCTGGGGGCTCCAGGGAAGGGGTGAAGGTGGGAGGCTGGACCAGGGGCATGGAGAAAGGGATGGGGATCAAATGGAGAGTGGTCCCCATTAATTCACCCCAAAAATGACCTCAGGGATTGGGTATTTTGGGGGAATAGTGGTAAACAGTGTGTGAAAGCCCCCCAATTTCTGCTTGCCTCCTCCAGGGTATCCCTCATGCACCAATCTTCACAGACACAGTCGTGTTCAGGGTAGCACCATGGATCATGACCCCCAACACTCTGGCACCGGTGAATGTCTTTGTCTGCAGGTAAAGGCCAAGGGGAAAGTGGGGAGGTGATGGGCAGGGGGAAAGGCAGCTTCATTCCCATCCTTTCTGCCATCCACATTCCCAGCATGAAGGACAACTACCTCTTCATCAAGGAGATAAAAAACCTGGTGAACAAGGCTGGCTGCGAGCTGAAGGTTTGCTTTGGCTACATCAACCGTGGGGACCGCTGGATGCAGGTAGGTGGGCACCAGAGGTGGGACAAAGCTTTCCCTCCCTGCTGGTGTGCCCCACGCAGGTTTTCCTCCCCCGCTTCTTTAGGATGAGATTGAGTTTGGCTACACTCATGCTCCCCACAAAAGCTTCCCAGTGGTGCTGGACTCCCCTCGAGATGGAGGGCTGGAGCGATTCCCCATCAAGGATCTACTGGTAAGAGCAGGGCAGTTGCTTGTATTCCCTGAGGAATAGGCTCAGCCTATTCCACCACTCCTAAAACCCTACTTGAACTTGGCTCCTTGGAGGGCCTACAGTGGATTTGTTTGAAACATGAGAGTTTAACACCTCTGCATGCAACTGCATGGAGATGCCACCCCATCCACTTCCAGCTGGGAGGATGCCAACAGCCTCAACCCCCTCAAACCAAGATCAGAGCCTAATCCACAACCCATCTGGAAAGCCTTTCCTCCAGAAGGTGCTGGATGAGAGGGAAAAGGAGGATCTCATGCCTCTGGGAATGAAAGATCCTGCCAAGCTCCAGGAAAAGAGTGGATTTCTTCACCCTGAGTATCCCAGTAATGGGCTGGCTTTTCCTTTCCTTCTCTGTGGCTGTGAATATGCAGCAGCTCCCAAGCAGCAGAGGAAAGGAAAACATGAGTAGGATCAATTTACTTCCTTGAAAGAGAACAAGATGCAGCCAGCTGCCAAAAACACCCCTGTGGGGCTGCTTTGCCAAGGCAAAGGGCCAGCCATGGGCAGAGTGTGCAAAGCAAGCTGCCTGGGAGAGCAGTGAGCATCTGGGGAGAGCCCAGGAAAGACAAGCAGGGAAAAGAGATGGATTCAATGATCCCTTTGAGATACCACCATGCAGAAAGGGCAGAGCATTCCCAGATTGCTGCCACATAGAGCCAGCCAGACCCCAGCAGTAAGGGAAGAGGGCAGCTCACTTTGTGCACACACCACTTTGGGGAAGGTGAAGAGCTTTCAAAAGCATTGAAATACATCATTTCTCATATCTGAAATGAGTACACACAGTCCCGGATCCATCAGGCAGGATGGGAATAGCACACTGCTGCATTCCTATCCATCCTCATTAGGAATTGCTTTGCTCCATACTTAGAGAAGCAATTTCAGCCTCTGGAGCTGCTAACACATTAGACTCCAATTGCTGCTCTGAAGGCTCCTCTAATCCCCACTCTTCTCTTTCCCATCTCATTTTCCAGCTAGGAATATTTAGCCAAACATGACAGACTCGGGTCCTCCCCTCACCCCAGCCAAGCCCAAAGCCCCTGGGACCTCGTGCCACGGAAAAGGAGACGAGAGGGAATTAGCCCCTCAAAATGAATCTGGAACTGATAGGACTTGGATGTGACCCACAAAGCTGGGATGAACCAGGGCCTTGACAGTTGAAACCATACCAGCTCCGTGGTTTATTACACTGAAATAAGCTCAGAGCTTGTGTTTCATGCTCAATCCCTCCCACAGCACCCAGGGAAAGGATTTAGTCCTCAGCTATGCACCCTGAAAATGCACAGGAAGCCTTGGGGAAAAGCAATCCTGCTGCACCCTCCCAATCCCAGCTTCTCCAAACACCCTTGAGTAACAAAAAGCAACTTCTAGGCCACCCTCAGGTCTCCGTGCTCATTTGGAGGGACCTGCATATCTGCTTTACCCCCACAGAAACCCAACACTTGTAAGTGATTGGGAATTAATACAAGCCCAGCAGATACCTGACCTCATCCCAAGGCTGCCATGAGCTCCAAGCCCATACTGACTTGATCCAGAGATCAAGGACAGGTTCAAGGCAGGATTTTTGTCCCACCTCTGTCATTTTCACCCTGATTTTAGCATTGCAATCTGCCCCTTGGGCATTCCAGCCTGACACATCACGACAAGGGTTCATTACCCTTGCATGCACAACGCCTTAAACCCCAGATATATTCAGTCCTGAAAACCAGGGCTTAAGTAGGATTTAAGTGAAGTGCAGCCCTGATGCCTAGGGCGGATTTCCCCTCTGGGGCTGAAGTTCCTCTAGCTCAACAAGAGCCACCCAGAAACTCAGCTTCAGGGCTACCCCAGCACCTCATTAGCCTAATGCAGACACTTAAACATTGGCTTTGGGACAGCAGAGACCTGTCCCAGCTCTGCCCCTGGCATTTGCCACTTATCACTGAGCCCAGACAATCCAAAGACCGTTACCCTCTCACCTTTCCTCTATCCTTTGCCTTGCCTCTGTCCTTTTCTTACCTCTCTCCATCCACCGACAGGCTTCTCTCTTGATGTTTTGTACCCACTGGAGCAGGCCTGAGCCCAGCAGGAAGGATAAAACCAAAGACACGGAGGCAGGGGGGACCCAGGGCGAAGCCCACAGTGATTTCTCTTCCTGCAGGGCCCTGACTTTGGCTACGTGAGCAGAGAGCCCCTCTTTGAAGCCATCACCAGCCTTGACTCTTTCGGCAACCTGGAGGTCAGCCCACCCGTGACCGTGGCAGGGAAGGAATATCCTCTGGGGAGGATCCTCATTGGCAGCAGCTTCCCCACGTAAGAGATGGGAAACCATTTGGGAGCAAAGGAACCACAGGTACCCCCTAAACATCATCAAAATCATGTTAATGGGCTGAATTAGCCATTCCCTGGTGAGCTGTAAATGTGGTTCTCTATGGGATGGGTGCACCCAACACCGGTGCACAATCTTTGCCATCATATTGCACATTCCTTTCTCTCCTCCACCTTGACAGTGATTTATGTTACATACATACGGATGCATTCATATTTATTCCCCTTATCCCTTTCTCTTGGGGATATTCCCCCCCCCCCCCCCCAAACCCCCGGGGGGGGGATACCCCCCGCCCCCAGATCCGCAGGGAGGAGAATGACCAGGGTAGTGCGGGATTTCCTCTGTGCCCAGCAAGTGCAGGCTCCCGTGGAGCTCTACTCAGACTGGTTGGCTGTGGGCCACGTCGATGAGTTCATCACTTTTGTGCCCACCTCTGACAAAAAGGTATCCTGAAACCCCACACCACTCTTATTTTCTCTTCTGAGATACTAATCCCATTGGCACACCTCGAAGGAAAACCCCAAAGTGCATTTCTTTGACAGACCCCAGCCAGTATTTTCTTGGGGATTCACTCTCGTCCCCACAAATGAGGGTTCTCAACATAAAAAGGGACTTGCTGAGGTAATAATCAACACAGAGAGGAGAAAAAGGCACCTGCAAAGGCAGTCCAAGAAGCTTAAAGCTCAGGATTCACACGGGCTGGCCAGGGCTCTCAGCTGCTCAGCACCTCTCAGGTGTTCTCAGCAGCTCTTTATCACTGTTTCTAATGCTTCTGACACAAGATACTTCTCTCTGGGGAAACCACATCTTGACCTGGATGGTTTAGGAAAGGAGTATTTACACACATACACATCCCCCCAAACCTTCCATGCGAGGTTTTCACCCACCCCAAGGCTGTGCTAAGTCTTTATAAGAGATGCCATCAAGACTGCAGCAAGCAGCCTCTAGTGCTCCACTGAGAAGACCATTTCCATTAGCACAAAACAAACCAGGTCACACATGGGGCTCAGACCCTACATACTGATCATTCCCATAGCATTAGCTTCACAGTGATTTTTGGCTTCTTCTGAGGAACTCAGAGCCTGACTATTCGCTTGCTCCATCCTCCCCCCTTCATTGCAATGCCAGAAACAAGAAATAAAACCCAACCTAAACAGCAGCAGTGCTCCTCACTCTCAGCCCACCCAAAGCTCCACCAAACCCCCTCAGGGGGTTTATAAACCCCACTTGGGGTGGGCAGGATCAGACCCAGCTGTAGCCAGGCTGCAGTTTTCCTCCCTGCCCTAGCAGCAGTTTAACCCTTCAGGGTATGATCTGGTCCATATTTGCCAACAGCATAAATCACTGAACCTCATTCTGATCTATCCCCTCGCTATGCATTGAAAAAGACACTAAATAACATCAGAGACACGTGATTTCAAGAGTTTGAGCTCAGGTTCCTTGCAAAAATAAGGCCCTGAGGTCTCCTGAGTGAAGCCAGTCTCAGTGACTGCTCTCCCTCCTGTCTCATCCTCCACCCCAGCGGTTCCGGATGCTGATGGCCAGCCCTGCTGCGTGCTACAAGCTCTTTCGGGAGAAGCAGAAGGAAGGCCAGGGTGAAGCCACCATGTTCAAAGGCAAGGGGACAACGGGTGGCTTTGGCTGAGCTTTGATGGCAGCTGGGAGAGCCGGAGCCTCCCTGCAGAGCAGCCAGCCCGAGGGTGGCAGCGCCTGACGGACTGTGGGTACCAGGGCACATGGGGACCTTTCCCACCCCATTGTCCTTCAGTGCTGCCAAGCGGGATGCCTGCCCATTGTACCCAGCCTCCTCAAGCCCTATTTTGGGAAAGCGAGTGGGATGGGAGGGATAAAGCCCTCTGCATGGAGGGGATGCTTGCTTGCTGGGATGGAGCATCTGTAAATGCCAGCACGGAGCGGGACAATCACTCTCACATCGCTTGTCCTTCCTTCCCTGCAGCAATGACGGTTTGGCCACCAGTTTGAGCACCCTTTAACTGTGGTTTTGAACATCACCCACCTGCAATGGTGGTGGGAGAAGGTCTCCAAACCTCCATGGGTGCCTCTGGGTCGCTGCCATCCCCAAACAAGGAGCACCTCTATGGAGGTGGCAGCTCTGGCTTTATGGAGCTGAATGGAGAATGTTAGCAGATAATGATTCCTGTGGGATGACAGGAACTCTCCAATGCACTTCCTAACAGGCAAAGGTTTTCTTTCCCAATAAACTAAGACTTGGGACCCCAAGCTCAGGAAATAGGGATTTTGGGGACTTTTGCCATCTCTGTTCCCGGTCTTAAGCCAGGATTCTGCTACGACCACTTCATTTTAAGGGTGTTTGCATTTGTAGGGTACTCAGGGACAGACACAAAACGAGTCACCATTAACAAGGTCCTTTCCAACAACATTCTGATGCAGCAGAACCAGTATGTCCAGGTGAGAACTGTTATTTCTGGTAATAACTGCTATTTCTTGCAATAACTGCCCCAGGGGGGTGCAAACCCCTAAGGGAGGTGTTGAATTTTGGCTCTCCTCCTATGTAAGATGCTTTGGGGACCATGCCTACCTGTGTCCCCCCCTTCAACCTCCTGTTCTCCTGTTCTCCAGCGCTGCATCGACTGGAACAGGGACGTCCTCAGGCAGGAGCTGGGGCTGATGGAGGAGGACATCATCGACCTGCCGGCGCTCTTCAAGCTTGACAAGCAGGGCAAAGCTGTGCCGTACTTCCCCAACATGGTGAGGGGGGTCCCTGCTCCTCGGGTCCTCTCCAAATCCCAGCCTTTTCAGTCAGGATGAATCCCAGATTTGTGCCAGAAAAGCACAATGTTGACACCTGCCTGGAAAAAGAAAACATCTCCAGCCAGGCTCAGATAAGCCCAAGTTTGCTTGTGGTGGGGTTAAACTGTGGAGTTTTGAGGCAAAAGCCTTTCAAAGAGGTGAAATCACAAGGCATTGGGTGAGTTTGATGATAAAAAAGGGGAAAAACAACGCTGGATTTGGAGTCCTGGGGGAGGGCGGCGTCGACGCCGCATTTTGGGGTGAGGCTGACGGAGGAGGGGAGTGAGCATCTCTCCTTCAGCTCCACCAGCCCCAAGGCTACTGGGGCTCCTCTTGTGTCACCCCACAGGTCACCATGATCGTCCTGGCCAAGGACCTGGGTATCCCCAAACCCTTCGGCCCCGTGATGGGGGGGGAATGCTGCCTGGAGCGACAAGCCCGCTCCCTCCTGGAGCCGCTGGGGCTGCGCTGCCGCT